AAGAGAATCTGAGAACATGTTAGTGGCAGACCTCTTTCACCCAAACTCTACTAAGTGGGATGCTGGAAAAGTTAAAGAAATACTACCTGGCTATGCGGACTACATTCTCAACATTCAACCAAGCTTGATGGATGCTGAAGACAGCTTTGTCTGGTTAGGCACATCATTGGGCCTCTACAAAGCCAATTCAGGCTACCACGCGGCAAAAGATGCACCACGGGTTCAAACTGGACATCTACTAGCATAAGATTTCAACTGGAACTCATCGATTTGGAATACCATGATCTCTCCAAAACTAAAACTCTTCCTCTGGAAGATCATGAGTGGAGCTCTTCCCCTTGGTGAATAACTTGCATCCAGAGGGATACGGAGCCAAGCCAACTGCATCCGATGCGGAGAACCGGAAACCGCATCTCACCTCTTCTTCCACTGCAACTATGCTCAACAAGTCTGGGACTCGCTCCCCTGAAGGAGTCAATCAACCCGCTAATAATCACAGATTTGGATCGGGTCTTGATATCTCAAAGCTCATAATCTGTCTCCCCCCCCGACAGGAATTGCAGCAGGACCGATACTCCCATGGATATGCTGGCATCTCTGGCTAGCAAGAAATAAGTTAATCTTCAATAATCGAATCATCACCATTGACGAAACAATCAACAAAGCGCTTAGCGACGCTCGAGAATGGCTTACAGAGCAAATCACGAAACCTATCGCTCGGAACCAATATCTAGACCCGACTGACCAGTCGAGAATATCGGATCCGCTCACCCTCCGTTGCTTCACAGACGCAGCTTGGCAACGGGACTCTAATCGGGCAAGACTGGGATGGCTTTTCCGAAACCAAGCGAACCAGATCATCTGCTCCGGCTCATCAGCGGTAAGCAAGGTCTCATCTCCTCTGATGGCTGAAACCCTAGCAATTCGAGAGGCACTCGTACAAGCATCACGAAGGAACCTCCACTCCTTCCGACTCGCCTCCGATTCTCAAACCTTGATAAATCTAATCAAGAACAAACACCAAAACCTTGAGATCTTTGGGATCCTCAAGGATATCTATCTCCTTTCTATCGATCGCAACATTTTGTCCTTTGACTATGTCCAAAAGGTCTCTAAATTGCGATGCTGATGGTTTAGCTAAATCAGCAATCTACAATGTAATGGCTCACCCGGTTTAGCCCGGTTTAATGAAATTAGTCTTTTGATAAAAAAAAAAGGTTTGGAATTTGCAACATCGTTTTATTTAATTTAGTATTTTGAAACCGGTTATATTATGGAAAT